CCCCCCCCCCCGTATCTCCGAAACTACTGGACGGATCCGAAAAATTCAAACGGCGTTCGATAGCCCTGTCACATTTGTTGATGGAAACCAAATTTCATTGACCTCAGGGTCACCGATGACGTCACAGGTCAGGTCAAAGATAAAATGTTTCACCGTTCACGGGGCTTCTAGGGAAAGCGCTATAACACCGAGTAAAACGCATTTTGTCGAAAATCAGCGATAAGGCGTCAGTTGTCTAGTACATATGTTGCTATTAGAGGTCACTGGTCATACCAGGTCAGGTCACAAGTCAGGTCACCAAAGGTCACCAAGGGTCACCACATGAGCCCAACTTTACTAAGGTTATGCGATGCATGTTTTATGGCCAGTTTTTCATTTCCAACTCAATGGTGTTGGTTATAAGACCATCAGGTACGGTTTAGGTCACTTTCTGGTGGAGATCAGGTCAAGGTCAGGTCAAAAAAGGTCAAATTTCAAAATTGATATTTTTGCATAAAATGGGTATCGATTCGATGCAGCTCGTCACGGGGAGTCTAATGGTGGTCTTTGTTTTGCGCTACGAGGTCCAGAATTGCTAAAAATTGAGTTTGAAAATTTGACGTCATCAATTTTGAACAGTGTTTTCGCTATAACTTGGCCAAAAAAAGAGGTATCGATCTCAAATTTGGTATGTAGATAGAAGGCGGTAGGGGCTATCACATATATTCCGCTTTTTTTCGAAATTCAAAAAACTTTTAGGATTTGTTGGCTATTATATTCAAAAAATCTATTTTTTGATTTTTGGGGGTCAAAATCCAAAAAATTCCAAAAACCGAAATAGCAGTTTTGTAGCCCTTTTAATTCCACACCTTTTATGGCTGAAACTTTTTTCTGTATCTCTAAAGCTGTAGGCCTGACAGCTCTTCCGGCGAAACCTTTTTTTGGGTCGAAAATGGCAAAAATGACGTCACTCTGACGTCATTAGCGGCCAACCTATCATAGCATTTGGAAAATTTTTGGTCACCATTGCGCTATCTGCTCCCGGGAGGGTACTGAAAGTTTGGTGACGATCGGCGCAGCGGTTCTCGAGATATATCGAAAAAACTAAAGGGGGGGGGGCAAAAAAATGCCCCCCCCCCACCGCCTGGAAGGTTAAAAGCGATAGCCGTGTGACAAAATGTATAATTCACGCAATACTTATTTAGACCATGATATTATTATGATCCCGGTGCTGGCGCCAATGTGTATTCTTGTCCCGTTACTGATACCTAGAAACGCCAATAATGCGTTACAGGCAGTAATTCCTGACATGCAATAGTTGCCTGTGTATGATAGCGAACTTCTCTGTCATAATTGACATTCTTTATTGATGCCACTTTGGACAATCAACTTATGTTTATTTCTGGATCATCGTGTAGTGTGTTTTTAGAACGTGGTGTTGACTACATGGAACGTGGCGTTGGGTGCAAAATAGAGGCTTATATTTAGAGAACACAATGCAGTATTTTATTTTGTGTCCCAAAAAATGATGCGATTGACTATATGCCTTCGACACACAACCCCGAATCACAGCAAAGTTGTAACACCACAGTCCACAACCACAAACAACATTTAAGCAAAGTAATACTACATCATGTAGGTATCACTTTTTGGCGGCAAAAAAAAAATGAACAAGATCAAACCGTTATCAATATATAAGAAAAGGTCCCCAATTTCATAAGCATGCGTGACAAGGGCTTGTTGCATTTTAATGCAACCTTGGGAAAACTGATATCACTCTTCAATCAAGTAAAACCACAAACAAAGACAGCTATTATTTTCCCTCGCCAGTCCCGATACTGGAAAGTTGCACCGCCTCCCCATGACATAACTGATGACGTCATTTCTTATGACATCACCACCGCATCACCTATGACGTCATTATTTTGCTGCAACACTCTTCTTGCTTTTGTAGCTCTTCACGGAGAACATGGAGCCGCGGCGGCTGGCGGCCGGCTGACTGGGGGGTGGGGGAGGGGGCGGGGACTGGGGGCGGCTAGGGGGGAGTTCCACGATGGAAGCCGGCGGCGGTGGCGGCGGCGGTGGTGGAAGGGCCTGTTGCTGGTAGGGTGCTGGTGGTGGCTGGTAGTAGCTGAAATAGAAAAGGGGAGAGTTTGTAACGTTAGTAGCTTTACAGCAACGATAGCAATATAATAACAAATAGTATTATATAGTAACGATAGTAGTCGATACGATAGCGATAGTAAATTGTATTAACGATAGTAGATTACAGCAGCATGCAAATCTTATGCAAATCTTATACATATTTTGAAGGGTGTAGTTATGCGGTTTCGGGTGTGTTTCAAAACTAAATATAATTGTATCATTTTTACCATTATATCAATACTGAAGAGTAAAATAAATGCTTGTTTGTCACGTAATGGATATCGGTAAACGAACAAATGGGACTCTAACCTTGTTGAATATGATAAAATTCAGCATGCAAGGTAGGCTTCACGCTCTTATAACGTGCAGGATGCGTTCTAAATTTGCTAGCTTTTTCTTTTCGCTAGCCTTTTGGCAATTCCAAATGCTGGATCACAGCTTTAGAGTCACGAGGCCATTGCCACCAACTTACTTGGAGTCCCGTCGTCCGTCCCCATAGGCCGCCTGATTCTGATTGTAGCCGTTAGATGGCAGGAAGATCGGCATCGGCTGCGTGAGTGTAATGATTTGGTTCGGCTGCTGTTGCTGCTGCTGCTGCTGGATTTGACGACGATCAGCCTCCCGACGTTCCAGCTCTTTCTCAGCTCGGACTCTGACAGCCTGAGAAAAAGAAAAAGAGATAGAAAGATCTTTTCAAACGGTCACCGCACGTGAACTCAGCATGCACCGGAGGGGCTGCGGGAGTCGAAATATGCTACTGTCCAGCTCAGAACGACAGGGGTTTGGAGCTTGAGGAAGATAATGTATGCCTGGTGGGTAAAGATAGGACAGGTCACAACCCAGAAGTGGATGTGATGTGAATATCCTTTCCGATCGTTATCTACGACCATCCGAACGTTCAGCTAGGAGTGAACACTCGGCAGTGACTGAGAATACCGCGTCATCTACATATACTACCCAACACAAACGCCACTGGCATTATCAAGTATAGATGTCGCCACTAAAGCCGGCACCGACTGGTGGGATACTATCGAGCCCGATTTTAGGACTAAAGTACGTATCGCTAAAGTACGTAGGACAAAAGTACGTATGCAAATGTTCGTACGCAAATATACGTAGGCGATAAAGTTCGTATGCCAAAAGTACGTACGCAAATGTTCGTACGCAAAAGTACGTATGCAAAAGTACGTAGTGCATAAAGTACGTATGTCAAAAGTACGTACGCAAATGTTCGTACGCAAAAGTACGTATGAAAAAGTACGTAGTGCATAAAGTACGTATGCTAAAAGTACGTACGCAAATGTTCGTACGCAAAAGTACGTATGCAAAAGTACGTAGTGTAAAATGTACGTATGAAAAAAGTACGTACGCAAATGTTCGTACGAAAAAGTTCGTATGCAAAAGTACGTAGTGTATAAAGTACGTATGCCAAAAGTACGTACGCAAATGTTCGTACGCAAAAGTACGTATGCAAAAGTACGTAGTGTATAAAGTACGCATACCAAAAGAACGTACGCAAATGTTCGTACGCAAAAGTTCGTATGCAAAAGTACGTACTACGTAGTGTAAAAAGTACGTATGCCAAAAGTACGTACGGTTCGTATGCCAAAGTACGTGGTGTATAAAATACGTATGCTAGAAGTAGGGTATAGTAGTTAATGTAAGTTGAGCCACTTTTTCTTTATTGCTGCTCTGTTGCCATACTACAGGAAACTCATGATAAATTCATATACCAAATAATATAGCTTTGTCCATTTCGCCCATTTACTCATCGAGAAATTTTGCTATGCCTTGTAACAAATGCTCATTAAATAAAGAATAAGAAAGGTATTACACATTGATCAACTTAACCGAACGGTGGGGTACGTACTTAATACCCTATGTACGTACATTTGCTATGCGTACTTTTGTCCGTGACGTACTTTTGTCCACACGTAGAGTAGACCGGGGCAAGTCTCCTCGCTGAAGTAAAACGCCTCACCGATGTTTCTCGGAACTGGCAGGGTTCTGGGGAAAGATCCTCTCTTCTGTTAACCCGGCCGGGCCCGGGGGTAATTCCAACCACCGCAGCCCGGGAAGGGGCGTTTTTTCGCCCCCCTGTCTAACTCCGTAAATAAGAGAGCTACGCAAACAAAAGCAATACCAAACGAAAGGGCCTTACGAGACGCTTCTAAAGCACCCAAAATTTTTGACCTCAGGTCAATTTTCAAGGTCAGAGGTCAAGGTCAAAGGCAAAAACCGGCACATGTGTAGTGATCTCAAAGTGAGCGTTCTAGAGGACTTTTTTTTTCTCTCTCTCTCACGTTTATTGATCGGAACACCCATCCATCAGCACACATCAACCCAGCAGCACGGTAGCAGCTCACACTCGAGCATGCTACACACATTCTAAACATCACCAGGCACTCTCCCATAGCAGACATCTGTCACCCCCGTGATCCGTCAATAAATTTAGCGTCCGGCGCACCGCTCGCTGCCTGTCGCCAGTGTGTTTACTACCTATTCACGAGCCAGGCGGCGCCACGACGCCCCACGACGGCGGCCCCCGGCCCGGCGGACCGGCAGAGGACGGCGAGGGCGGCAACGTGGAGATCTTGGAAATGGTCTCGTGAGATAAATCGCGCGACAACCACTAGACCACTACCACTACCACCACTACTAACCACTAGGGTCTAGAAAAATCGACTTTGTGACGTCATCAATGGGGCTAAGTCCAAATTTTTTATTTCAGAAGATGCCAAATTGATGGAAGAAAAGGTACTGAAAATTTCGCTTTCCTATCACTAAGCGTTCGGGAGCTATCGCAAATATTCGCCAGGAGGGGGGCGAAAAACGCCCCCCGGGCCCGCGAGGGTTAATCTAGTGTATGGGGCTTCTTGCCTCAGGCCGTGGGGCGTTTTGCCCTGGGGTTGGGGCAAAATGCCCCATTTGCAGTTGCTTCACAAAGCACTTCCTAGCTGGGAGTCCGATCATAAGTGAATGAATTTGAGGGATGGAATTTAAAGTAAAATGTCCAAAGAACACATTGAGCACAAATTTGGCCTTCCAGGTGATGTGAGACAAAAGTAGGTACCTATGTAGCGAAATAAATTATCTGGGGCGTCTTGCCCAAGACTACCCTACTTTATACCCTACGTACATACGTACATTTGCTATACGTAGACTTTTGTACGTGACGTACTTTTGTCCATACGTCCTACGTACTTCTGCGATACTTACTTTTGTCCGTGACGTACTTTTGTCCATACGTACTTTTTACCCTACGTACATTAGCTATACGTACTTTTGTCCGTGACGTACTTTTGTCCATACGTACTTTATACCCTACGTACTTCTGCGATACGTACTTTTGTCCCTGACGTACTTTTGTCCATACGTACTTTATACAGTACGTACTTCTGCGATACGTACTTTTGTCCCTGACGTACTTTTGTCCATACGTACTTTATACTGTACGTACTTCTGCGATACGTACTTTTGTCCTTGACGTACTTTTGTCCATACGTACTTTATATTGTACGTACTTCTGCGATACGTACTTTTGTCCCTGACGTACTTTTGTCCATACGTACTTTATACTGTACGTACTTCTGCGATACGTACTTTAATCCTACGTACTTTTGCTTACGTACTTTTGTCCTACGTACTTTAGCGATACGTAATTTTGTCCGTAACCCATCGAGCCCCGAGGAGACTGATCCAATTACTTGAGTAGATTACTGTGATTGACTTTTGATTACTTCATTACTTTACTTGATTACCGGGGGAAATCACATTACTGCTGCGAGAAACACAATGAGGGGGGGGGGGGATGCGACGGCGTCCCATTCCGAGGACTGCATACCTAAGTGTAGGTAAATAAAGAACCTCGTGGTTGTGGTCAGCAGTTCATGTCCCTTTCGCTTTTTCAGTATCATATATAACAATATTAATCATTTTTCTTGTGTAAATATTTGAATACTATTGTCATCTTTTCATAGCGTTCGTGAAAATTCTGGAACTTATTGATAGGGCTCAGACACCATCAAGCCTGTACAAAACGACACCCATGTGTGCATCCCATCTTTCTGTCCCCCCCCCCCCAACCATTCCCTCACATTTACCCCGACGTCTCCCCACGTCTTCCCCTACGCATCCCCGAGCTCCCCCATAAATCCATCCCGTTCTCCCCCACCCACGTCTACCCCACGTCTCTCCACGCCTTCCGCTACGTATCCACGAGTCCCCCATGTCTCCCCTGTTCTCCCCCATGTATCCACCCTGTTCTCCCACCACCCTGTCTTCTACCACGTCTCCCCAAGTCGCGTCTCCCCCTGTTCTTCCCCCACGTCTTCCCCCACGTCTCCCCCACGTCTCTCACCTCCTTGACGTGCAGCTCCTGCAGGCTGTTCTGCAGTTCCTTCACCTTGCGCCTGTAGATGAGGACCTTCTTCTGATCATCCTTGCTGCGGCGCTCGGCCTCAGCCATCCTCCACTTGAGGTCCTGCATCTCCTCCGACTGCTTACGGATCAGGAACTGGCGAAAGGGAAAGGGGAGAAAGAGGTGAACTGATAATTGAAGATTGAGAGTCTGATAAGGAACAGTTAAAATTTACAAGCAAGCACTGAAATAAAAATTGATTTTGATACGATGAAGAAAGAACTGACATTGAAAAAAGTTACTTTTGCGAAGTGAATTTAATTGGTAAAGTATACAAATTGGTAAGTGAAAGCTGCAAAGACAGAGCTCAAAGAACGGTGGGGGGATCTTCGACTGATCAGAACGTGGTATACATGTATTTATTTGTCCTCTCTCCATGAGGAATAAAGTTACCCAATATCCACTGCTCCAAGGAATGACGGTTTGGGTTACTAAATGAGTTACCTGCATCCTCTCCACTGCAGACATCCTATCATCAAGTCGACTAAGGCGGTTCTGAAGACCCAGACTGTTCTGCTTGAAGGACTGCTTCATATCCTTACAGAGATCCTGAAGAGATAGCTGGTTCAGCTGGGTGATCGCTGTAAAAAGGTATACAGGGTTAGCAAACAGCAGTGTATGCTGTAAAAAGGTATAAATGAAAAAGGTAAAAGGGTTTAGTGGTTGTTGCAGGGTAAGACAGGCTTTTACACAAACTGCAATGAAGACCTTTTTACAGGAAGGTTGACGTTGCTGCTTTCGGCAATCATTACCAAAATGATTCATTGGATCTTTTGTGCAAATGAGAAGCCGTGACAAATTATCCTACCGCAAAGCCACCACAAAAAGAGTCGACAAAAATGCAATGCGAGTATTGTACCTGAACGATAAGATTTATATGACAGAATAGTTTCAGCTTCGCCACTTTTGCAAATAAAACCATTGCCTACCTTCCATTTCAACTTTCAAGAATCTGGTGAGAGATCTTCTATGTTACACCTTTGCTTACCTGTCTGCTGATTGGCTGACGTCGATGGCAGCTCGACCGCTGATTGGTCGATGTGTCTTTCAGCGCCCGAGGTCACAGCAGGCGAGTCCATTATTTGTGGGTTAGGGGAGGCCATATCCTTCACAACAACTGACGCTTCGATTGAGACCGCCTTGTTCCGTTCAGTCACACCAGAAGTTAAGGGGTGTTTTTTCTCGGGAGGTGAGAAGTGTCCGTTAGTTGCGTGTTGGTAAGAAGGCTGTGTTTGCTGTTTTTCTGGAGAAGAGCGACTTTCCCTCGCTGCACCTCCAAGAGAAGAACTCACTTCGGACTGGCCTTTCTTATTGTCCGAACTGTTGACTGTCCGGACGGAATTGACGTTTTTAGGACCTGACGAAGCTGTTGTTTGCTTCTCGGTGACTAAGGTAGCTGGTCGATCCTCTACCGGCTGCTGCTCAGCAACTGAACCGTTAGCAGGGGCCTGCTGTATAGCAGGATCAGAACGCGAAGCTCCTCCTTCAGAGTTTGAGTCTGGTGAAGGCGAAGCTTCTTTTGATTGTGTGTTTGACGAAGACGGTGTCTTCTCTGTCCTGGCGGCTGCTGGGGATTCCACTGCCTGGCTTGAAGCGTTGATCACTGAAGGAGCAGCTTCTTCGCCACCAGAGGAAGACGACTCTTCGGGCACTGGAGATAACTCCTTAGGACTTGAGGTAGGCTTGTCGACGGAACTACGCTCTGGAGCTTGCTCCTCTGCTTCAGACTTGCTTTCGGTAGTTGAACTCTCAGTAGTTACTTCAGTTTGTTCCGTGACAGCGCCGGTGGTCACAGGAACTGCTTCGGAATTATCTCCAGAATCAGAGTGGTTGGGACCAGCGTTTAGGATGTGTTTAGAGTTTGTTGGAACCCTTTCGGCACCTGCGGGTGTTACAGCACTGTCAGTTCCGGCAGAAGAATGATCGGGAACGTCTTCAGCACCTGGTGGAGCGCCTTCCTCCGGGGAACGTTTGACTTCCTCCTGGGGTGTTGAATGCTTCTCGGGCTCAGTCTCTGAAGCCGGATCCTCTTGACCAGGTGTTGTTGTATCTTCAGGCTTATCTGCTACGGACTCTTCGTCTTGCTTGGTCAGCGAAGCCTCCAAGGGCTGTGACGTTGATGTAGCTTCAGTGGACCCAGGCGTAGATACTGATTCAGCAGGCTCTTGTGTGGGTGAGCCTCCCTCTGGATGGTTCACTGGTGCTGTGGGCTGAAGTGATGGCGGAGGCTCTTCGGGTTGGGGCGACGTCTCCTTTGAAGATGGAGTCGATTTCGAAGGTTTGCCTTCGGACTTGTCTGCTGGAGGCTGCAATATTGAAATGTGTTATTCAGTAGTGTTAGTGCAGTTTTCTAGCTTTTCATGTTTGTTGTAAACCAACTTAAGTCCTCCTTATCAATTGGATAGGCTTCACCATGATAGCGCTAGTGTCTTGCGTAGTAAAGGGTGACTTTGTGATGCTGGAGAAAAAAAGAATAATTGGAAACCTGACAGTAAAGTTCATAAGTGACGTCTGCGTATGTCTGTGATCACGTCTATAATATTTAAATTTCTGCTTTGCTCGTGATCGGATGGCAATAATCCATAATTCCATGTCAGGTATACCTTTTTACGAGTAATGCGCTGCACCAGGCCGATATTACGCAATGACCAGGGTTTCTTCTTGGGTTTGGGTTCCTCAGGAGCGGGTCCCGTCTGGTCCGGCTGTGAACAGACCAAGATGATAGGCTCAGTGATTATGGTGAATATTCAGCTCTGCCTGATACCAACGCATCGCGGAAAATGTAGTCGTGTGTCGAAAGTGTTCGGAGATCAATTTGAGGTCAGAGAAGTACGACTACATACATATGTGAAAACCTTTCTACGGATTTTGTGTTTGTATGAAAATTGGCTCATGTTTCATCAACAAAAACTGGCATTGGACCTTTACTTCGGACATTGGTCTTTGATATTTACTCTGATATAATTGGCTCTTCATTTTCTACCTGGAATCTATTTCTCCTGGTGACCCTACCTGCAGCCCCTCCCCTAACCCCACAGTAATCCCTGATGTCACTAATTTTTATAACGATCTCTGTGGTCACTAACCTGCTCGCTGATTGGCTGCTCAGCGATGACCTCGGCTTCCTCGTCGTGACCTATGACCTCTGTCGGGTCAGTGTCGCTGTCGATGACCGACGCTGAGGTCATCTAAAACGAGCACTGCGGATAGCAAGATCCAGCCAACGCTAAACGAGCATAAACAATATAAACGAACACACTAGGGGGACGAAGTTGGAAACGCTGAAGTGGTCACACTGGATAATGAACATGTTCAAAAAGCAAACATGCATCGGAGGGCTTGTGCATTGTGTAACAGAAAGGCAATGACCGAAGTCACGTCATTGTTCAAATGTGCTCTGAGCAAATGTAAAACTATGTTGGTAGTCACATTCCTTTTACATAGATTATTCGTATAGCTATAAGTCATATGGCATGCCATTGGCAGCGGTATGCTGTGATAAAAGAAACTGTTTGGGAAGGAAAATTGTATCAGCATCCGTAAAAAGCGATGAAAATAGATGTGCAAATGCAATGAGCAGCCCTAGTAAACCACGCAGCAGTACAAAATTGATAGCATTTGATTCACCACCTTTTTATTTCGTTGGTTTTCCACCATTTTATTTCGTGTCAACGTTGCACTTTCCTTTCACCTATACATGCATCTTCCCTCTAGCGTCCTTCACCGTGCGACCATATATAATGTGAATTTTCTCTGACCCTGGCGGACGTGTGTTGGGGACCATGTCGCCTTAGTGACCTTACGTGACCCTGATCAAACCGTGTCATCAACTGTGACCACTGATGACCTTATCTGGCACATGTGACCCTGCCACCTCCACCTGTATTGGTATCACAGTCAACTCATGTCCTTCATCGTAACCTTTGTGACCTTATCTTACCCCAGTCAACCCACCGTGACCTTTGGTGACCTCACCTTAGCTCGGTCAATCTTCGTCACAGCGAAGGGTTGCAAATGAAGGAAAACTTCGGTCCGATGACGACTCGAACCCATCGACCGAAAATCTACGGCAGTCCTGTGCCATCACCAGATATACGTCATGTGACGTACGAGGACGTACTTATCAATATATAGTTATCAGTATGAGGGTTACACCACCACCATACCTGCAACGCTAAGTGCAGAAATGTAATACCACTACCAGTATTCAGTACCTTACTACCATATCAGTACCCCCTATAAGTTTGTATCTACAGGAAACGCAATACCAACCAACCCAATGGATGAGACAATACTCCATGTTGGTTGGATGAGTATTATCTCATCCATGCCAACACCTTGAAAAGTACACAATTAGAGCATTGCAATACAATGTCATTACCACTTATTAGCATGCTGGTAAAAAATCACACGTCAATATAAGACACAGTACCATCGTCGCTAACTTCTGACAATAGCAATACTGAATGCCACCATACCTTTCACCACTTACAAACGAAATCAAGGTAGCTTTATGCAGGTATGAAGGTAATATTTCATTTGAAACATGATTCCAATACATATTTTTTCATGCAACGTAGGATCATCACTTGAAGAAGTTTGTTATGGTTTACCTTTACCGAATTGATCTTTTGCCCGTGACTTTCTCATTTGTGCGAGTGACCTCATAATTCGCCCTTCCCACAGTAGAACACCTGAGGTCACCACGCCCCCCCCCCTCCCCCAGACATATGGAGGTCACAGGGTGCTTACAAGGCACACAGGTGTTTGGCTGGGAGAGCGAGAGAGAGAGAGAGAGAGAGAGAGAGAGAGAGAGAGAGAGAGAGAGAGAGAGAGAGAGAGAGAGAGAGAGAGAGAGAGAGAGAGAGAGAGAGAAAAGAGAAAAAAGAATGCGTTATTTAGCTTGGTATTTCTACTTCCTTTTCTCTGGCATCTCTCTCTCTCCTCTCTCTCTCTCTCCTCTCTCTCTCTCCCTCTCCCTCCCTCCCTCTCTCTCTCTCTCTCTCTCTCTCTCTCTCTCTCTCTCTCTCTCTCTCTCTCTCTCTCTCTCTCTCTCTCACACTCTCTTTCTCTGACGATGGTCTTGGGAGCGGAAGCCTTCACAAAATGCAAATGGGCGAGGGAAGCCTATGTGTGAAATATGGTGAAAACGAATGGTTTCCTCACAGGTTTGGCTGACACACCTACTGTCAAGGATTCAGCAGACCTGAATCGAAGGCCAACAAGCCGCATATTTGAGCTTTGGTTTTCCCCACTTAACGCCACATTTGGCGGCTCTAAACCAGAAAATTCAAAGATTTTAATTTACGTCATCAAAAATTGATGACTTAACCCTCGCCCTGGCAGGGCATTTTTCATAACACGGCCTGGCAGGGGGGGGGGGGGTCGATGCGACCCCCCCCCCTCGCGATTGGCTCCTATGGCACCTAGAAACACCAAATTTGGTAGGTAGGTGGGCCCCCCGGAGTTCTCGCCCCTGTGCAAATTTGGTTGCTCTAGATCAATATTTAGGGGGGTTTTGGGGGGTATAAATGTAAAAATTTCGCTAAAAACAGGTCAAAAGTTTTTCGCTTATAACTTTTGATCTAATTAAGATAGAGCAAAAAGAAAAGCACCAGTGAACTCAGCACGTCAAAGCGCGTCGAATGATATACTATTTAGCTTGCTTAAGTGTACTTAAAGTTTTTCTTAATTTTTAAGTAAACTTTAATTAATCAATTAAGTTCAAGTTAACCAAATTGCATCATATTGCATATCATTCGATTCGGCTGATCACCAGGAACACAATGACACCATTTTTAAGCTCTAGCGTCATTATGTGCCAAGTTATTGGCAAAAACGTCATTTGACCTCAGTTGACCTCATTTGACCTGACCCATGGATAAGTACACCAAACAAAGAAGCACCAAGTGACCTGCTGTTAAGTACTGTGGTTTCAAAGCACAAAAGTGATAGAACGAAGCGGATATCTCCAGTATTTTCCGAATTTAGTATTTTCCCATAGGCTTAACATTACGACGTAATGACCTCTAACTGACCTCAGGTCAGTGACCTCAAAAAACCCGAACTATATGTTATACAACTCGGTGAACTTAGCACACCCTGAAAGTTTGAAGGAAATCAGTCCAAAACTGTGAGCTGGACAGGTGCAAAAAGAAAATTGAAATTTGACCATGACCTTGTACCGGTTTTTCTGACCTGGTGACCTGACCCAAGGTCACCCGGACCTGAAATTTTCAGGTCATATGTAAAAAGATTGCCCCATAGGCTGTGCCAAATTTGGCGGCGCTGCGCGCTGCCGTTTTTACGCTATCTTCGAAAAACCTTAGGGGGGGGGGGGGGTCGCATCGACCCCCCCCCCTGCCAGGGCGAGGGTTAAATTTTTTCAATGCTATTTGATGCAATAAGTGCACGGACAAATTTAGAGCCTCATCGGAAGTGATGCCCTAAATTTTTTTGGGCCATCATTATAATTTCTAACAATTTCTAACACTCTGACGAAACTCCATTTTAAAATCGATGGCAGCCTGCCACATGTCAAGTAAATCTTTGAAAACCTCTTTTAGCGCAACAAGATATGGCAGCATTGCCTTCATGCAAAGAACTTCCCTTGACTCGGCCGCAATTATTTGACTTTCTGCGCAGGCTCCTCTGGATGTTACGAATATACTATCCTTTGAATAAAAAGTTTAAATGACGTCACATGTACCATTGGCGCGGGAACCGGGGGGGGGGGCAGTGGGGGCAGCTTGCCCTCCCCCTAACTCTGGGGCCGTGGGGGCGGTGCCCCCACAACTTTGAGACAGAAAACCACACTTTTTTGCAAATGTTCTTTTTTTGTTGAAAAAGCCAAGGGATGAAAAATAAGTGGCCTAAAACCGGTGAGAAAACTAGATTTGGGGGTACCCCTGGTTGGTCTCTATTATGGTGTGCCCCCCCAGTCTGAAAGTAGTTCCCGCGCCCCTGCATGTGACGTCATGTTGCATATCAGTGGATCGCGGAAAACCGCAGTGGATGTTCAACCCCCCCGTCCCCCAGCAGGACGCGGGTTAATGAAAAAGCGGACAGGATTCGGACGCGTCTGCCCCCGTGCCGCTACAAACCAAGGCCCTACAAAGTAATCGTGTCGCGGGGCTCCGTCCAGGAGCTTGGTTGTCATGGAAACGACGCTTTGAATAAAGTCCTTCATCGCCGTAAAGTTTTCTTTTGTGATGTCCTAAACGCAAAATTCAAAATCTCGTGGAGGTGTGGCCCTAAAAAATGCGGCCCTAAAGTTGTGGGGCTAAATTAAAACAGCTCGAGCGATGATGGTCTAAACTTCTAAAACGCGTATGGCTGTGCACACTGACTGGTGTACGATATGAGCACTGAAATTTGAACTAAGCACATAAGGTTTCCAATTCTATCCTAAGCAGTCTTATCCTATCCTATCCTATCCTATCCTTATCCTATCCTTTTACTTCGCTCAGCAATGAAAGCGTACTTTTTATAAATTAAGAAAACCGTCATTTTGTTGGGGGGCTGGTGTTTTCATCAAGTATACGTATGTATCAATTTTGTAGTGGAAAGGTTGTTAAGTTTAGTTCAACTTTTCACTTCTTAAAAATTGTTGCTTAGTTAAATCTAAGTTGTTCATGACAAATGCAATTACAGTGAAAAGTAAGTATAAATACACTATGTAACCGATTTTTTGCACAAATAAAGCTGAAGTGCCAAGAAAAATGGTAATTTGGAATTAATTGAAAATGATTGTCCAATACAAATGCATGCTATCAAGTCACCTCGTGCATAATGATAAGATGTGATGTCACTGAGTAAATATCTCTGAAAATAGGTATAACAGAACAATAAGACAGTGAAAAGACATGGCAAGTACACATGTTACACGGTAACGCTAAACAATCCCATCGCAAATCGCTACCAAAAATTCAATGTCAAACCCACCTTTTCCAGCGTTTTACCTCTCCCTCCGCACTATTCTGTCTTCAGCTCTCTTCTCTCCCTCCGCCTATCAGACAGCCTGACGACCCTTTGAGCGGTAGAGGTCGAACTGACGACTGCCTAACACAGATGTGGGAACACCTGTAGCGGTGGGTGGCGAGCACTTGAGGTGGTGTGGATGGGTCGCGTCAGCGAGCGGTATGTGTGTGTGTGTAGGGGGGGGGAGGGGTCTGTCTGTATAAGTGATGTCAATCACGGAAAATCGGAATACCGATACCAAACCAAATACCAACTAAAACCACGGGAGAATACCGAAACCAAACCAACTTGGGAAACTGAGGGAAATACCAACTTTTTACCGATTTCTTAGCCTCTAATACATTAATGAGGGCTTATGATACCAACAAAATACCAAACACATTACGATTGAAATACCAAATACCAAGTTGGTATCGGTTTGGTATCGGTATACCAAAAAGTGGGTATCCGATTGACATCTCTAGTCTGTATGTCGCTGTGGGTCTTCCTGTCGGGGTATGGGGGGGGTGTCTGTCTGTCTGTCTGTCTGTCTGTCTGTCTGTCTGTCTGTCTGTCTGTCTGTCTGTCTGTCATTTTGCCTGTTAGTCAGTCCGCCGTTTCGGTAATAAAGCAAACTGTTTTATTCTCGTATAGGTACTGGTGAATAAATTTATCCACGAGTGTCCATCCATGCGTTGCGTATTTCAGTCATCTGTTCATTACTAACAGTTTTTTATGACGTTGAGTGATTACTTTTGATTATAGTGATTTTTTTTTAATTACTTCTGATGAAGTATTAACTGAGTCATGCAGAGCTGTCGTTGGTAACGATTCTGAAATCACGAGCCTGGGAGCTGCGTTCGGAGCATTCATGTGAGAGAAATGATGGAACCTGTCCGCCAGCTTCTAAAAACCGCGCCCGGCAAGAATTATCAAAACCTGTTGATATTACCTAACAAACTCATCACCCTGCATGCCATTGTTTTCGCAGACTGGTCTGGTGGCTTGCGTCACGTGACCAGACGCCGCAGCCTATACCGAACACAGTGGCCCAGTGACAAAAGTCACGTGGTTATGTAGTAAAGTCTCACGGAACCACTCCAAGCCCACACCCAACTCAGTACTCCGATGTTTTTCACCACCCGACCACAGCTATTACCTCCAAAGCCACGTGACTTTCGGCGACATCCACGCTAACCGAATCCAATACATCACCAGAAATCTTTCCTCACCGCCGCTCTGCAGCGTAGTGAAGCGAGATGCAATTTTACCGGTTCATGTTCCAACCACGAGACTCCGGTTGTCGTCAGAGCTACTGTTGCGCAGTGTCAATTGATTGGCATTCATGATCGACCGGTCTTTTGCCCTCGGGGCAAATTTGGAGAGTATAAAGTATCGGTTCAGATGGGGTCTGAGGTAGAGCTGCAGTGTGGTTGGGAGTGATAAGAAGAAAGATGAAGAGTTTTGTGGTGCTTCTGGCAGTGCTGGCGGTGAGTGAAGCTGTTATGTCCGTCTTGGAGTGATTTTGAGATAGGTGCTATTTCAGTTTGGCTACAAACCCCTATAATTAGCTGGTTTTGCTTCACTGGTCGATGATTATAAAGTTTGTCACTTTTCGTAGACGAAAACTGTGAACATAACTACACTACTAAATTTATCAAATGGAGCGCTTATAGCTGCTCGTGCAAAGCAGCAGAGCGCTCGGCAATTATAACTAAAAAAAAAAGAAGAAGAAAATTGAGCCTAAACGATTGTAAAGAATAATCTCTTCGGGCAGGTCAAAATATCATTCGTTTGTGATTTTTAAAATGTAGTAGCAAAGGGATGAAAATGGAACTCATGTAGTCACTCCAGGTGAACCTTATCTAAAATAACTTTCAAACAATTTCAATCTTACTGCAATTCATATGAATTCCATTCATGTCTGTAACCTAAATTTACGCTGTACCCTAAGCAAATGCAAAAAAAAACTCAAACACCCCATGTGACCTCAGGTGTCCTTTCTCACTTGCCCTTTACAACACCTCCGACTCTTTTCTTCCCCAGGTGGCCGCAGCAGCTGCCGAAGAAAAACCCTCCGACGCCGAAGCCCCGAAGGATGCCGCCAGCGCGCGGCGCGCCCGTCTTCTTCTCCTCCTCGGCAAGAAAGCCCTCCTCCTGAAGGGGCCGCTGCTCCTTCCTGCCCTCGGAGCGAAAGCGAAGGCTGCTAAGCTAGCTGGAGTGGCTGGTGCAGCGGGTACCGCCGGTACTGCCGCAAAGGTGGTGGCTGCGAAACCCATCAGCTACGCTCAGCCTGTGCAGGTCCAACAGTCCTACCAGCCTGTGCAGCAGGTGCAGTACCAACCCGTCCAGCAGGTGCAATACCAGGAGGTGCAGGTGCAGCCTCAGGTCAAGTACCAGCCAGTGCAGTATGAGAAGCTTGAGCTGGAGCCTCTTCACATCCAACCAGTCCAGGTCCAGCAGGTGAAGGCGCAGCCAAAGTACGAGCACTACGTTCCGGTTGATGTTTACGCCAAGCAGCCTAAGGCTCAATACGCCCCACAGCCGGTGGCGTACCACCAACCTATGGTGGGGTATGGTCAAGAGGTCGTACACCAGCCGGTGACCTATGAAGAACCTGTGTCGGGCTATGGTCAGGAGGTTGTCCACCAGCCGGTGGGCTATGGGGAGCAACCAGTGACGGGGTATGGCCAGCAAGTGGTACAGCAGCCGGTTGGATACGGTGAACAGCCTGTGTACTAGGAAGGGGTTGAGGATGATGTATGGGGAGGTTGAAGATGACATTATCAGTGGGTGGGGATGATGAAGCTAAAGTGGTTGAAGGCTGAAGGATGATAGATGTCTTCGGGTAACCTCGAAGAGTCAGAAGAAGACTGAAGACATGGATCTGTTGGAAGGGAAGATTGAGACGTTTGGTCCTGTCGGACCGGCTGAAGTTGAACCTGCGGCTTCCCGGCTGGTTGAAAGAAGCTGCTAACTTCTGACTTCTTGAAGTTCGGCTTCTCTCTGAAACTAGCTGAAGTACAGTGCTGTTGCAAGTCGCAAGTCGACGCCGTCTCTGCTTCTCTCTGACTTGCCCAGTAAAAAGTCTGCCTAGTCCAAACCAAGGGGTGCCTTTCAGCGGGTTTTCAGATTGATAAGTGTGCACTACAGTGTTTATATCAATGTTTGATGTTTAGAATAGTTAGTTATCGAAACTAGAGAATAAAACACAAATCCCATGCCACCATTTCATTCAGCATGCATCTTTCGAGTATCGCCGCGTCAGTTTTATAATCAGAATGTTGGCTGTTTCATTCAAAACTGCATCGGGTACGAAATGTAAAACATTGTTATTATGTGTGTTCAGACGCCTTCAATTGTAAACGAATATTAGTGATACTGACTATCAAATTGCTGCATTTTGTAACACACTAAGTCACGATTGTTACCATCATTGTTTACGCCGACGTGGGTGCTAATAAACGACAGAAAAACATATTTGTATGTTTTCAAGTTTTATCATTTCTGATTCCGCCTTTCCTTACCTCTTTTGATCCAGCCATGGCAGTGATTAGGAAGTTTGTTTATTGGAAAGTAGAATCAACACACTCTAATGAAGATTATCGATCGGCAGGCGAGGGTTTGCTGTCTAAGCTGAGGCAGATAAAATAGCTTTGTTGTTTATAAATCATCAACATGTAACCAATGATCAGGAGACACTCACGTGAGTGGATACATTGATAGCTAACCTAGCATGTAGGCTGTGCTCTATACCATAGACAAGGTGATACTTAGTCACACATATAGTGTAAGTGAGAAAACATACAAACACACATTCATACAAAGGTGAGGGATACCACAAGGGATTGATCGGGTCTGGCCAAATAGTTCAAGCAGGTTGTCTTCCCATAACTTAAAAAAGCCCTCCCGCTGGTTGTTTCGCTGTTTAGTGCAGCTGGTTGGTTCCTTGCAAGGCCCTATATATGTTCCTTCCTTTCAGCAGAGCTGACTGAGTATCTGGGGCACTTATTGGGCAGCGCTTCTCTCTTCAGAAGGCAGAAGCAGTTCAGAAGTGCGGTGCTCTCTGTTCAAAACTCTGGCTCCGGTTCTGATCCCAGTAGCGTCTTCAAAACTAGAGCCAACTTGCTTTGGCCAGAAGTGGAGGCTGATACCTTGTTTCGCGGGGTAATCAAAGTGATTATCTGAGGAAAAATAAAAATCACTTTCTATTAGCGGATTATGATGTAAATACATTGTCTAATGCATTTGCCTACCCACTTTAACCCTCGCCCGCACATGGGGGGGGGGGGGGGTGGTTGCCACCCCCCCCCCCCTAGGTAGTCTTTCTGCTCTGCACTCAACATTTTTAGAGCTAGAAGGCTGATTTTTCGTATAGCTGCTCCTGTATCCTTTTTTGATGTGCACTGAAAATTTCATGTTTCTGTGGTTTTTGGTTTCGGAGATATGACCTTGTTTTTCAGGTCATGTCATGACCCAAATGGCCAATTCTCAACATCTTGCGTTGGCTATGGGCCTTGTGAGCTTTTGACACCTTGATTTCAGCCATTTTTGCCAGTCTTACCTCCCACCATCATGGAATATGTCGTTCGACGATGTACAGATGTCAAGGTCAAGGCCAAGGTCAACCTAGGTCATCTAAGATGATTGCGTTTTAGGCAAGCGGAATTTACTTTTTGTGAAGTTTTTTGACTGCATTTTTGCTAAAAGCTTCTCAGATCATGATTTCATGTAATATGGACACATAAACAATCGGTGCACACATCAGTATACATACAGACACACACAGACATACAAACACATATCATTGACCTTGACCTAACTTGACCTGAAATGACCTCAGCAGCACAGACCTGATCGGGTAGTGTGACAAAGAGGTTCTAGCTGGCTTGGCACCAGAAAACGGCATCGTCATCGGTATATGATAAGCAGCGCACTTGATATCCAACGGTGACCCAAAACAGCAACATTTTTTAGTTTGACCTGACCTGGAAGGTCAATGACTGACCTGAGCAGGTAAAACTGGGTATCATTGGATTTGTCTCTTCCCAAAGAATCTTTTTGGTCTTACCGCTAAGCTCTATCTCCAACAGGAACGAAATGGCACGGAGGATGGCAACCACCATGTGCGTTCTAGGATGGGAAAATGGCATGTGCGGGCGAGGGTTAAAGAGAAAATTTGATGTTGCCCCAAAAAGCGTTGACATTTAGTCTCCCGTTGGCTTAGCGTTTGCAAATACCTATCATAAATTGGAAGTATTTTCACCGTGTAAATACAAATACGATTAACCATAAAAGGATCACACTCACAGCTTTCCACTCACTCAAAATGCACTCACCAGCATGACAACGAAGACCAAAACTACTGACTGGCAAGTTGTCATGGACGGGTCATGGTGCTGCTCCCACGGATCAATTGCCAATGTAGCTCAAAGAAATATTGCTCAGCTTTCGTCCAGTGACCATGGCCTTTATTGGATAAATGAAGGGAAGAGGATTTGTAATCCCTGCCAACCCAGGAACGGTTATGAGGTTATTTTGTGAACATGACCCGAGGTAAAGACTCGAATATCCACAGTTCAGCAGGCCGTTCCTCACGATTCACGCAAGCGTCTTCTGATTGGTCGAGGCTGACCTCTCTTTTTACGTCACAAGTCACCATCCATTCAGATGATCTATCCACATGTCAGATCTATGATATACATCATATCCAGACTCATTTTGGAAACCTAGATTTCATTTTTATAACCGACTTCTCCTCACTGTAAATTGGGCTGATTTGACCTTTCCTGACCTCCCTGTGATGTCACAGGTAAAATATCAAGGTCGTGAATACTGAATAGCCTTTCCTGTGCATCTTGGGCTCTTTCGAATGCTGTTGCATTTTCTGATCCGACTATTGGTTCCGGAGATACGAAGGGAGGCCCCCTCCCCCCATAGGACGTGGAACCTGCCAGCCCTGAACGGGGCGCGGATTAAGATAAAAAGTCCACCATAACAACATCAAAACCAACAGCGGAAACACACCCATCCCACCAACCTACTCCGGTACCACCCCAGTGCACATTTGTCACATACATCGCCTCCTCACATAGCACAGTTCCACCATAGCCGACCGATCTGCACCCACTCTTATCTTATCATGCCTTCGTTCGTAGCGTCGGGGGCAGCCCAGGTGTCGGCACCGTGGATAGATATGGCGTTAGCTGAGCTACGATACAGATATGGCCTTAGCCAGGCCACGATACGGCCCAGGGCGGAGCACAGTGGATATCGCGTGGAGCGAAGCTGTGTGTGTGGTGTCGGGTGTTGAGGTTTTGGTGAAGAGCGGGAATGTGTAAGAATTGAGGTTTTGGTGGATGGTGAGATGTTTGAAGATGGAGCGTGATGGTTGAGAGGATTGAGATATTCGTGAGCAGCTCGTTCGTTTTGTGAATGTGGCAAGAGAGTGACCATATACTTCGTTGTCAGTGTGAGGATCTGAGGATCTTCCAGCGTTTGGCAGAGCTCGGACCAGAGTGTGAAGCTGACAGTGCGGAACGCAACGCTGCGGAGTCATAAGGACACTTGTGACTACCTGGGGCACTACCGGACGTGTCATGCGCTGGGCAATGCGACTCTAGTGTTTGCTGTGTCACTGGCGCAGAGAATTGACACTAGATATCCACCAAGTCGTCCCACGCAGCCTATCACTGAAATCGTGGATCACTTTGACTGGATGCACAGAATAGGTGGTGGGTTCCCGCATTGCTTCGGACTTGCCTGAGCCTCTGCGGGTGTCTAGAATGTCAAAACTGAAGCCACATCCTGGTCAGAGAAGTGATTTTTCTGGAGTCGCCGGAGGAAAATCACGCATAACAAGGAACCAGTAACGTGAAACCTGCGAATCGTTTGCACTGACCTTGCAAAGGTCTGATAGTGGATGAAAGAAGAGCTCTTCTGTATAACGAACACTCGCGTTGTGTGTCAAGAGTGGCATCGCGCGAAGTCTTATCTCGAGAGCAAGACAATACCTTGCTGTGGCGAGTGTCTAAGTACTCTGCGTTCCAGTTAAGAGACTTGAGCTCTGCTTCCCGGACATCTTCAGAGACTTGCCTATAGACGCCTATCGTCGTATTTGGCTTCCATTCTAATCACGCGACGAGTAAGACGCTAACAGACTAGTTACAACAGTGTTCTGTGAAAAACTACGGCGTTCGCGAAAACGAGGGAAATTGGCGAAGCAGTGTAAGGGAGTTCTGCTACTATAGCAAAGGGAGTGCTGATGGTTGCCCACAACGTTATGGTTAACCAGTGATGATGATTAACTAGCAGATGATGACAACACAAACCGACATCGTCAGCAGTAGCAGCAGTGTCAAAAAAGCAGTGTAGACAGTGTCAAGGAAGGTGTGTGAAGACATAACGGTGACAAGGAAGCTGTGAGATAGTGCATCGCCAAGGAAGCTGCCTGGAACCGGACATTATCCAGGAAGCTGTGTCAAAGAAGCAGATTCAAGACGGCTGTGCCGAGACGACATCACGATGTCTCTCGTCAACATGAGAGACCACAGCGACAGGAGGAGTTACATGGAGGAGATACTGATCCTGCAAATGGGAGGTAGGTCACTAAAATCCCCACATGAAACTTGGGCCCCTTGGCTGTACTTCAAAAATGTAGGTACTTGAAACATAGAGGCGTTTTGAGACAGATGCTTCTGCATCTGGGAGGGAGTTCCCAAACTCCTCGCATTTACTGACTTCAATTCATTAGCTGCCGTTTTAGAAGATATTAACCCTCGCCGGCCGAGGGGGGGGGGGGGCGGGTGCCGCCCCCCCCATAGGGTTTTTTCGCAATAGCTCCGAGCACGCTGGCGATAGAAAGCTGAAACTTGGCATACCTGACCTTTGATTCAAGCCGGATCTTTTGACACCAACCGCATTTTTGGGTCAGGTCAGGTCACTGACCTATGACGTCATAAGTGAACCTCTGCACGGTCTTCAGATGTCGCAACTTCGCAACGACCTCACTGCCAGAGGAGATGTCACAGGGAAATGAAACTTGCAGGATCTAGTATCCATTATGAGTCTCATAACTTGTATATCTCGGATTTTTCCTAAAGGTCATATGAGGTCAGGTCATTTTCGTGACCTCACCATTATAAGTCAATGGGGAAAAATTCAAACTGCTATTCTGGCGCCGGGAACGATCTCCAACTATCTCAAGCACACAGAATCGTGATTTGATGCACTCCTTGCAAGGTTAGATGCGTCACTTTTGCAATGTTGACCTTGCGTGACGTCATTTATGACGTCATCAAGGTCATATTAGTTTTTCGTCAATAACTCTTGATCAAATTGAGCTAGCGAGTCGGGAAAGCCACCAATGGACTCAGGAAGACCTGCCGAATCGAATGATATGCGACATGACCTCTTTCGGCCAACTTCGTGACCTGGGGGTGCTGACCTGACCTTGACCTGAGGTCAACACCCCAAGTTGACCTGACCCGGACAAAAAGTATATCATTCGACGCGCCTGAGCGAGACAAACACGATGCTGCCAAAATCGGCGCTCTGCGGCCGTTATTTGCGAAGTTATTCACCAAAAACTGAACCGTACCTTGGGGCACTTGACCTGACCTCAGAGGTCACCGGTTGACCTAGGACCTTAAAATCGGGTACCAATCTCTGCGTCTCGTAACGGCGCACACGCTCGTTTTTTCCGCGACGCGCTAGCTCCACCAGGGGCGAAACGGCGAGGGGGGGGGGTCGTACCCGCCCCCCCCCCCCTCGGCCGGCGCGTATGTAGAAAACCAATAGGTCCGGCGAGGGTTAAGCAGTTCAAACGTTTCGCACTTGGTAACAGTTGTTTATGAAAAGTCGGCAAATGCAAACAAATATTATCCACAGCAACGTTGTGAAATTTGGCCTTGCTGTGATTTATTGTGATAAATCGCCTTGCTTCCTAGTTCCTTTTCTTACGGGCATGCACAATTTACATTGATGTAATTGAAACCAGATGTCCCCTCCAACACCACTGGTAGGTATAGGTAAAATCAGCTAGCTATTTTCATGATTAACTTGCCTGTGGTAGTGATTTTTTTGCACCAGCTCATACCGTTAACCTACATATGCATGGTTGAATTTATAGGTAAATTGCTGCGATATAATTTCGATTTTCGAGTGGGTGTCCGGTGCATCAGAATCTAAGTATCGATGCAAGAGGCCTGCGTTATAGTGCTTTCTTTCTATTACAAGCACAATATTTCATGGATGGGCGTATTGAAAATTACATCACACACCCATCGTTTGTTTGTCGCAGACACCGAATCACCATTTGTTTAAAAACATGCGTATTGCGAATGCGTATCCCCTCCCCCACCCCACCCCAACCACTACCAACACAAGATAGCATCTGTGAAGGCCAAATCTCTATCCCACCAACACACAGACGGACGTGGAGCTGGCACGTAACCTGCTCCCAAATAGGTCACCCCACGGGGGGGGGGGGGGTCGAGGGGGGTACTGACCGGTCAGACTCGTCTTTGGCTATACCGCGTGCCCCAACACGTGACGGTGGTGCTAAGACAGACCACGGCGTCTACACGTGCGAGCGCTGATTGCGCGGATCGCGATAATTTTTGGTGGTCTAGCTATGAAAGCTAGATGGGTAAGACGCTATAGATATCATAGAGACAGCTAAGTCTAAGGGAGACTACGGTTACTACGTTTCCAGTATATGTAGGAAGATGTAGGAAGATGCATCCGCTTTAGCCTCTTATGATAGTGAATGTCATTCCAGCATTCTTATAATATGCTAAGACCAGTGCTGCCTAGTCAGTGTACTTTCAGTAGGATAAACTATAACGACGCCGGTACGACCAGCCTTGTCCATCTAGGGATCAATGCCCAAGGCCACCAAATCTGTTAGACATTTAAGTATTCCTCACAAGCACACTTATACAATCGGCTATACGTCCCGAGAAATACCCCAGCACGCGTCGTGAATTCGTTCGCTTCTGGTCATACTCGTTTGTCCACATGATAGCGAAATTTGTCCAGCCGGCTTGTCAGACAGCGGAGTAGTTTTGCAACACCTAAAGTGCAACCAAAGATTGCGCTGGTATCGCTGGACTGAGCCCACCTTTGGGGCTTCCATGTGTTGCAAAAACATCGCTTACTGATCACATGTTGCATGATAGTAGAGACACTGCTTGCCACTGTGTATGTGTAGCCTAAAAAGTACCAAGTGAAGGGATTCTGGGAGCCAGCGGAGTTATATACCACAATGTGCTGATCCGAAGGATTATTTTCATCATCTTTTATGTTGCGAAATGGTGACACACCGTGCATGCTACTTGTGATGACCCCAATCAGTAAGCCTATTTTGAGGTTTATCGTTTCATTGATGGATTTCAAAGTATTTTTTCCGATACAAGAACACAGGACCACGCGACAGGTCAAGGATTTGGATTTGGCGAAAACTCGTTTTGTCTTGCTGTATGGGATTTGTGTCATGAAAAGAACGTGCCCTGTTTGGACAGGGACTGAAAGTTGGGAAACGGTTTTACAAGTGAAATTGGCTGAATTTTCACTCTGGCGTTTTTCTCAGCCTTCATTGTTCTACAGGAAGCCTTATAGCATGTTATTCCTGTTTTTGTTTTCATGGTACAATATGTTCAATATTTTTGTTTGGTAAGGCTCAATTTATTACCAATTTTTTATGGGAGCCAAGGTACTTTGATGAATTTACTTTTGCCATATTTGTCGGTATGATTATTACCCATATTTTTGCTGCTTTTATAAATGACGTCATATTTCCAACAACAGAACTGTATTCATCGAATGTGCACGACTAGCAAACACATCAACAGAACACAACAAACAACTTTGGCTTCATCGAAACGCCTGTAACGGTATGCGCTCTAACACATAACTATCTAAACAACACAGACTAAGTTCGGTTTGACAATTGGTAACTGGTGTTCGGGGAACTCGTGACGGGCTCTCAGGGAACTGCTGCAGAAAGCACGGGAGATGTTGGCTCACAATCGGGGGGGGGGGGAAGGGTAAGGAATATATCGCAGTTTATGCAATTTTAGGCTTCGGAAACTTGGGAGCACGCTGCTCCACAGGGAAAGTTTGAGTGCTTCTATTAGTTTTTAAGTTTCGAATTTTGTAAATAGTTTGAATTGTAAAATCTAGCTTCAAACAACATGTTCAAAGTTGTTTTAGCTTGTCAAGTATACTCTATGAGTTTCTGGGGCAAACGTAAATTGTCATTTTAAGTTAGGTAAGTTTGGGATGCATCCACGCTACAGTGGATTCCACTTTTGCCCCTATCCTTTTGTTGCAGCTGTGACTTGAAAAGCTTTTCCCCAAAAAGGGCATGTGGGAACTGGGAAACAATGAACCCTACCCATAACATACCACTCGAGTCAACAACATGAAAGTAATGGGGTGAAAAAATTGAGCATGATCTGACACGGGCCTTTACCACCCAGTTGGCTCTGTCTACAGGGGGGAATACACGCCCTTGAATAACACCTTATCAGGTGAATGTTTAGGGTAGAGTGAATACCCTTGGGGTACATTCAAACGACAAGGTGTATCAAGGGAGGGTGAAAACCCTTGCTGGGAACTCATCCAATGATTTACATCAATGGAGCCATACTGGATGACACCAACCCCATGCGTTAGCACTATCCTCTCAGTGGTGAGAGCCATACCCCTGATCCACATACACCGGCTCGGGATCCACCGGATACACGGGATCCGGATGCACCGGATACACAGGCTCAGGATCCACAGGATACACGGGCTCGGTATCCAAGGGATACGAGTCCGTAACCACGTGGCTATGAGGATGGCTGTGAACGATGGTCTGGGGCTGTGCATGAGCCTGGACATCAAGCACGATGTTAGGGAGCTTGGGCGCAGCAGGCTTGGCAACAACGACAATCGGCTCAGCGACGGTCACGATGGGCTTCTCGTACACCGCGTTGTAGATGGGTTTCTGGATGACAGCCTGGTAAGCAGGCTGTTGAACGGCACCATCAACATACACATACTGCCCGCCAGCCAGGCCAGTGCTACCTCCAACTGTCGTGACTCCTCCCAGGCCTCCCAGTCCTGCGAGTCCGCTGACTCCACTGACTCCGGTGACTCCTTTGACTCCGCCAAGTCCTCCAAGACCTCCCAGACCGCCCAGACCAGCTAGACCTCCAAGTCCTCCGAGGCCAGCCTTGGAAGCTCCAACAGCCAGAGGACTGGTCAGAGCGGTAGCGGCGAGAGCTCCCTTGCCCTTGCCAATAGCTCCAGCGGCCAGAAGAGGGGCCTTCAGGAGGAGGGCCTTCTTGCCAAGAAGAAGCAGAAGACGCCCGCGTCGGTCCTTACCGGCGTCAGAGGCTTCAACAGCCTCAGGTTCCGAGGATTCGACTTCTTCGGCAGGAGCGGCGGGATCCTGGGCAGCGGCCAGCACCGCCTGAAGAAGAACACAGGGGTGGGAGGGGGTGACATCAGACTGTAGTTCTTCTTCTGACAATAATTCAAATCACATGAGTCACAGTGGAGGTCAGTAGGCCTGAGTGGAGGTCAGATAGGGCGAGTGGATGTCAGCGAAGTAGTGGGGATATCGGAGGTCAGAAAAGGTTAGATGAGGTTAGTGGAGGTCGGAAAAGGTCAGGGAAGGGGAAGAAATGTTGGAGTGTTGGGGTCAGCGCTGGTAAGAGTTAAAGAAGGATGAGGCGAAGCATTGAATTTGATTGCAATTGCTGCATTTTGACATAATTAGTATCGAAGAAGCATGCAAATAAATATTACATATTTGTCTTGAATAGCTCTCGACACAGAATCATTATGAATATTATACTGAGCTGTTCGGAACAACTGAGTATATTCAATTTGTCCATGGCCAAAATAGTGCAATAGCCCATTGTAGAACATTTCTAGTGAGCTACGCTTATTTCACTCTTTGGTACTGGCAATACCATGAATTGAATAACTCACCAGTGCACAGAGCGAAAGAACCACCAGAGTCCTCATGGTTTTCCTGTTGGAGCTGTGAGAGAAGCTGTACCTTCCTCATCTCACCACCAGCTTTTATATCACACTCTCTCTCCAAACCCAGTAAAGCTTGTTTCAGTTCCCTTGCAACCACCAACATTTGCTCAGAAAGCCGGATAGGACCCGTTGTATCTAGTGAATCTCTCATAAGAAAGCAGTGCACCGGTAGATTTTGCCATGCGAGCGGGATGGAGAAGCTAGTTTTTGAAAGTGAGATGTGGGAACTCAACGCAACGGTGTAGCTGGTTTGTCTGGTTTATCTGGTTTGATCACTGGATTGGCGACACAGACAGCTGAATAAACCAGATAAACTGGAAGGAAGGTTGGGTGACATGCCATAGGAATTGTCCGTGGTCCGATGGTATCGAGGGGTATGGGATGTCACGAGGGTCCTCATTCACGTAGGGTGTCACGAGGATCCTCATTCTCGCGGGGTGTAACGCGTGTGACATGAAGTGACGTGACATGTCACGCGTGTTTTATGAGGTGTCACACCCACGATATCAAAGTGTGACAGTTTGATATGTCATAGGTGATGTGTTGTTGTAGGTTCTGGCAGTGGCGGATCCAGGGGGGGGGGGGGCAAAATGGGCATTTGCCCCTCCCAAACGGCATAATTTTAACATTAAGCCTATGGACGAGGCGTGGAAAGAATCGATAAATTGTTATGGTAAAAAACTCTGAGCTGGATCCGCCTCTGGGTTCTGGTAGGGCCTGAGCCCTAATAACCCAATAGGTATCCTATCCTGCAAAGTACAAACTATGTATAGTCGACTACAGAATGGTGTTCCACTGTTCACAGGCAGTTATTTGCCTGGAGTGGTAGGCTGTGCCGCATCACACGGGCTGAGTTCACAAATTATAGCTTTGTCCCAATGCTCACAATCGACACGCTTAATTGCGTGATAAACGGCACAACTTAGCGCTCCGGTCAACTGATAGCTTCTGAGGAGTGGAACATCATTCTGTAGTCCACTATACATATAAAGTCGTGAGCTCTGTGGCGTTCTATAGTAAGCATTGTTTTGATGCGCAATAAATTACCAATTTGGGACCGTCCAATGGATTTTGAAATGTGACAACTGTAGACACCTCAATGTTCAAAGTTTTCTAGGGATGCTTGAACTCGCAGTATACGAACACGTATCCATAAAACGTAGCCGCTTTTAGCTTTATATTTAGCTATAGCCTCAACATTGCGGCACTGCAGTCCGGCAAACCTATAAGAAAGAACGGAGCTAAAGCTCCTGAATCATTTTGCCACGTGTTATGATCACTGGACGTGTATGGCCGGAAGAAAATTCGTCTAAAAGGTCGTGAGAGAAATGTTATTAAACATATTTTATTCAACGTCAAAACGTGCAACAATGGTGGTTGCGCTTTGAATCCGTTCTTTCTTAGGTTTGCCAGACTATAGTTCCGTCTCACACTTCATTACAATGAATTTCCACACAAATACCGAAATGCGCCTTATCACGTGACGTACCACGCCTGCAGTCTTACCTTCAACAGACGCCATGAGTTCTGCTTGCAGAGCCATTTGTTGATTCTTGCACCTTCTCCTATCGCAACAGAACCTTATCATTGTCCAAAGAAGTGTTATACCTCCCAGGAATGTGTCAATATGCAATGTTGGCATGCATGAACAGTGTGAAAGAACACGTGCCAGATTCAACGTTTGCGCTTATGTTGGTATGGCTGAAAGTGAACAAACTTCTGTAAGTACTATAAACCTTGTATATTGCGTGGGATGTACTCGTATGTAGGCATGTTTGAATGATCACCAATTTATTTATGACATTGATGTGTATAATTTGATCTTTCATCCTGCACATGTCATAGCTAATGATATTACTTTTAGTTCCGAACCCAAAAGAAATAAAAGTATTAGTTTCGTCTATGTCCTATCATTCTGTTAGCTGCAGACAAATCGATGAGATAAGCGTTGACATTTTAGAGATGGTTGTGACTGTTGACAACCGGCGCCCCTATTAGTTGTCCTGCGTGTCGTGTTTGGGGTCTCTCCGAAACTATGCATGACTTCTGTTTGACTTTGTATGCCTACCTAGACCTATTTACAAAGATAGTGTGTTGTTTAGTCATGTTCATAAGCAATTATATCCGGTGAACCGGACGCAGGCAAGGGTGGATGGTGGGTGCATGGTGTCATTCTCAGCAAGAACTGCTTTGCGTGGCACCCGGGCCCACAGTTACGAATTCAAATATTGGGACAAAATTCCCTTTAAAAATGTCATAGGTCAGGTCATAGGTATGAAAATTCCAACCGTGACATCATTTCTTTTTTGTCTACCACAGCATTCAGAATTCGAGAGATGAAAACAATGAATGTAAGGGAGGGTATGGGGTTTTCTTCCATGGCACCTAACCGTTTTCCAATGTAAAACAGACTTTACTTGCAGCTCAGAGCTTGAGCAGAGCAGAGCTGCAACTTTTGGCGAATGATATCTGGCGACATCTATCCCTGGGAAGTACCAAACTCTATTTGTCGGCTATGGAACTGGTGGAGCGTAGACGTCGCTGCACTCCCAGTCATCTCGATAAAGGAGAGTCGGGACTCGGGAAGGAAGGGTGATTACCGACTTAAGGCCTGGCTACTAGTGGTGTCAATTTCAGAAAACGTATGTTTAATGTCCGTCCAATGTCCAATACTTACGTCGACTGTCCGTCCGAAAATGTCCAAGCCAGCCATTTGTCCAAAGATGTTCGACATCTAGGCAATAGTTTACACTCAACACCGTTATTTAATTCGCTTTTAATGTATCGTTACCAGCTCAAAAGTGTTAATCATATGGAAAACTGAGCTTTCTAATGGCCAATCAATGTTAAACACGATTACTTAATAAAAATTGAGGTGTAGCAAGCGATTGTCCAAAGTTGTCCAAAGCCTGCTGTCATTGTCCAACCAAATTCCGAATTGGAAATTGGACAAAATCGGAATTCCGAAGATTCAAGTTCCGATTGATACCACTACTGGCTACACTATGCGTTTTCTGCGTGCGTTTTTGCGGGTTTGCATGTTTTGCGCAATATCGTTCTAGAAAAAAGTGATAAATAATATAAGTTTTACATTATTTATAAACAAAAATTATTAAAACTCTTATATTAACCGAAATTTAACAAAAAAAAAAAAAACATCACAAAAACGTAATATCGTTCTTTTTCTTTTTCTTTACGAAGTCCGAAAATCGTTTTCATTTTTCAGACATGCTATCATAGGCTCTAAAATATGCAAATATGTGCTCTGTGTTTATAAAAGAAGAGAAATAGGATATAAATAAAATGCCTCACTGATCACACAACAAATGAACCTAAATATAAAAGAGGGAAATGAATAGATGAACTGGGATGCATACGTAGATCATTCATGACTACCAGCAAGCATACATATCGCGAACCATTTCAGCTCTTTGTCGAGGTAGGCTCCAGTACCTACCCCCACCCCCACCCCCATCTTCTTATCCCAATTTCCTATACGCATCCATTCCCAGTGACATTTCTACAGCGACAATATCCCATTGTTGTTTCCAACAACTTTCCTGTTCCTATTCTCATTCTTGTTGTCCGTTACGGTCCAAGGCGGACATGAGGACAGGTGGCGCCGCCGCCGCTCGCATAGCGGCGGGAATGTGAACTAACCTGTTTACCATAAAGGACTGCCACTGAAAACAAGTTGAAAGAACGTAATGCAAAAGCATCTTAAAATATTCCACACTTAGGTTTTTTGGGTATTAGGGTAAACTGGCTTAGAGGCGAAGCAGAACGTCTGGCTCATGAAGAACGCACACAGTGTTTCACATAGACCGAAGACACGTGCTGCTTCTTCGCGTGCAGTCTTAGCGGCCCCAGGGGGCTTCAACTCGACCAACACCGGTTCTTCTTCGTTCTCCCTAGTCACGTGATATTACGTCACACAAAGCGCGCGAAAGATAAACCCTTTGAAGGTTTAGCACGAACTAGCATCGGGTTTAAGAAGAAGGGGTTGTGGTTTGATCAGTATAATGGCTTTCATCAAGACCACGCCCGCGGTACCACGTTCTAGCGTCCACCGGAAGCGATCGCCATTTTTCGATCGCGTTGGATCACGCTTTGTGCAGTGACGAGCGGCTGGTGCAAGGTTGGGTGAATGGCAAGTAATCGAATAGGTATTGAAGAACTGAAATAAGGTTAATTTTTGGCTTGTGAAGTGTTGTGTATTATTTCTATTACTTGTGATTGACAATGATAAGCAATATCACAACGCTCTTCAAATGCATGGATGAATGCATTGGATGAAGAAAATTCATATGCAAGACCATTCAATGCTGTAAGTATTTATATGTTGTATAAATGCCCCAGAGCTTAAATTATGCATGTGACATTTAGACAAATCTTCCAATTGAAGATAAATCAGGAATGGAATCAGCTTGCCATTTTGGGGTCAACTGATTTAGGTATAAATTTGGCTGATTTTAATAAACATACCTATGTTCTTGCTGATTAGTGCAATATTTTATCTAGCTGCACTTTACATGTTTAGTGCATTATTTTATTTTTGGAGTAGGCTCATGGTCTCTGAAGTTAATCTAAGTTTCTTTACTCCCTGCCTGTTGAATAACGACTTCATTTCTTCATTCTAGGGGACGAGGCCATCTCCGCTCTGATTGAGGCCCTGGAGTCTGAGGAGAGCGTCCTGGCGCGCGGAGACGTCGACATCGTCGAAAACGCTGGCTTGAAGCTGGTGGTGGAAGGAGAAACTGTATGTGATTTGGGAGAATGCGATATCGCCACCCGGCTGCTGACATGGGCGATAGCGCATACTGTGTTTGGGAAAATATCCACTTGCTAAAGCTAAAAATGTGTTCATATTTGTACAGAAAGCAACCCTGAGCGTGAAGGAATCAACCTGAATAATTAAACATGCCCGAAAGGCTCTGGAGTTCTTTGGCTTGGATGTGTAAGGCAAGTGACACGGCCGAGGGGAAAGCGTTCCTGCAGGCTGATTGCGGGCTGATCGCAGGCTGAATGCGGCCTGGTTGCGGGCTGATTGCATGGGCTGGTTGCGGGCTGGTTGTTCCTGACTGGAGACTTGCAGGCTGATTGCTCAGAGTAAAGAGGAAGGTAATACATTTTCAGGTGTATCAAATACTGTGTTTGCGCAGCAGAGGTGACGGCGCAGGTCGATAGCCATGCATGGGAGGTTCAATAGAGGAATGAACGGGAATTTTGCGGTATTGCAATAGAACTGAAAGGGTTCTACAACCGATATTCAGAACACAGGGTGGTTTCCCTATAAACCTCAGGGACTTCTTCACAGACCATTTGGGGTTCTTATCTAGGTGCTAAGAACGCTCTTATTATAAACCCTAAACCTCATAAGAGTCTTTGGAAGAATCGTGTGGATTCTTTTGATGAGAATGCGAAGCCGTCTACGTGAAGAACCATGGGGGTTCTGAAAAACGGTGGCATAACATTTTACCCCACAGGGGTCTAAATACCCCTGTACGTTCTTAACGTTCTTCCAAAGTGTTTTCAGTGCATGTGCTAACGGCCGCTGCGGGCGCCGTTTTGGGGCTAGTTTTGACTTTGTACCGCAGTTAATGGTTTATTTATAATAAAAAATGGACTAGCGAGAGTCGTGCCGGAATCAGAATTCAATGTTCTACCAAACTAAGCCATTTTCATTGTGATCACGTCATAGACTTCACCGCCCAACCCAGTAAAGCAGAAATATGTCGTGTCACCGGTGATTACATGCAAAAATTATTTGGCATATAGCATAAAAACCAGAACACCTTTGACTGCAGCGACTATGCGGTACTACAGAAAATTGTATGGCCTACCTTATGGTGCCCATTACTTAATAATTAAGTTGAGTATTTCGTCGCCTAGCTCTTGTAAAACCGTATGTCCGCTTGTCTATGGAGTTTGGACCCTAATGCAACGAGTATCTCCGTCCTCAACAGAAAACCCCGTGACTTACCCATCCTAGCAGCTCTTCATTTCCGCTAGCTTTTTATCCAGATCCCCGTCACTTAAGCCGACAGATGTCTCGCTGCTTCTTGTTTCACTGACACCAAGTAACCTGCAGATTTGTGATAATCCTTTGGGCACGGCGTCAGCTAGTTTGGCACAGTGACCCATTGCGGTTATTGCCACATTAGTGACGAAACAGTTTTCTTGGAAATATTAGGAAGGGTATCTGCTGTTTGTGAGGTCGGAATGTTTCGGTGAAGCTAACCAGATGGTATTCAGTATCTTACTGATATTTTTTTTTACCGTATGACTCTGGCCAATGCTATGTGTGCACCTAGGGCCATTTACCTATTGTAATTTGGTTATTGGCTTTGGTGACAATTTTCCTATGCGATGGTCAAGCCTACCAACTGAGTACCAAATCTACCAAAACATCGAACAACATCGACATCGAACACACTAAACAACGAGAACCGTTGATGAATTGATCATGACCAATAATGATCAGGTGAAGGCTGTCTGCTTCGAAATTAATCAGCCTTATACCTCTCAACAGGACTGTTATGATTGACAATGGCGTTCCCGTAGAATTCACATAGCCATCCTGTTTGATTATATAACGTGTCACGGTAGACCAGTCTATGAACAATTTTGGCCTGTCCAGAAACCGGATTGGGCTATGCGTCAAATGTGACCCAGGCGCACTGCGGAGGTCAAGGTTTATGACCTGCGCTTTTCGAAATTAAATAGGTCAAATGTTTTTTATTGTTATAAGTTTTATGCTTTACAATTTTATAGCGATGTTTTTATTGTTGATACCGATTGGGTCGGGCTAAAGAGTTTCGGCAACGACAGAAATCAGTTTTTTTTCGTAAGAAAAATAAAACAAATTCCTAGAATCCCCTATCTGTGCATGCAGACTTGAAATCTTTCAGTATATGTTCATTTGTTTCTATTACAAACTACCTCGGAGTTTACATGACAAATCGTCAATATCCTGGTTTCCAAGTCCGCATTTCATCTTTTCATCCCAACAACCTTCCCACTTCTCTGCACATCATTGACCCACAACCACTCACAGTATTGGCCAACTACCTACAAGTTTACTTACCGCACCGCACCGTACAACGCTGACAGTATAAAGCGAGCTTTAGGCCACACGGGTCAGCCCAAGTATGCGGTATTTCCACTACAATCCAGCTATAATCTGCTGTAGACGTCTATCCTAGTGACATTGGCTGTGAGAGCCAGAATTTGTCGGCAGGTTTCTCAACAACAGCCGGCTGGTTTCGTACTGTGGGTCTGACGACGTTCCGATCCGTCGATGCGCGACCAAACGAACTGAATAATTTTTTTTCTAAGCTAGGCACTGGCAGACATAGAAAAGCGATGCAATCGACAGAGTAGCTTGATGAATATGGGTACTGAAATAGCACAGCATGGGCAAATATCATAATGACGACTAGCGACGAAGCCTATGTAATGTAGCGAATCACTTCAGTCTCTTACAACTTGGCACCTTATGTCAATGTACGTTTTTCCTGTGTCTCTATTTTTAAGGCTGAAACGAACATTGACTTTGTGATAGATGTCTTTCCATTTTGCTGCGTAGTCGGCTTACAAAGTCGCCATTTTTTCAAATGTATTTTGTGACATTACAAAACAAGAACCCCACATCACAACCATTCATATAGCGCCCTTAGGCTTTGCAATTGAGGACAATGTAAACATTGGACAAATGCATCCCAGGAGTCGAAAACGCCACCATAGTACCTACTACTGGCATTTACAAGAATCTTAGAAAATCTTACACTGCACATTGCATTACAGCACATTGCTGTGTACAACATTTGGTGAGAAGGCTACATTTCGCTCCTTCCCACTGAACAAAGACCGTGCGTTTGATGCCGTCACCACTTGCGATTAGCGGCTCCATTTGTTGCATTCTTCAATGAATGATGACTGCTTTTAATGCCTTCGTCGCTCTCCTGGTGCCTTCGTCAGCCGAGCTTTTCGGTTGCAGTCTTCACAACTGAAGCCAGTCGCTTCTTCTATCTCCCATGTACTCATAATGCGTTACCGCCATCTCAAAATTTCATCTATCCGTATACAGGGCTACGGGCTTTCCGTATGTGACCGTCTTCGTCTATCCGTACACGGTTTGGCCGTACGCCGGGGCTACGGACTGCCCGTACGCCGGGGCTGGGGGATGCCCGTACACCGGGGCTGCCTGTCCGTACACCGGGGCTGCCTGCCCGTATACCGGGGCTGCCTGCCCGTACGCCGGGGCTGCCTGTCCGTACGCCACCTGCGGCTGGCCGTAAATTGGCTTCGCGGGGACGTAACTCGCCTGCTGAGGGGCGTAACCCGACTGCACGACGTAACTCGACTGCGGATAAGCCGGCTGTTGGAGGACAACCCGCTGAGGCTGCTGGGCCACGACAACCTGCTTCGCAGGAGCGTAAGCAGGCTGGGCTACGACGACCTGCTTCGCAGGGGCGTAAGCCGGCTGGGCTACGACAACCTGCTTCGCAGGGGCGTAGGCCGGCTGATACACAGGCCGTGGCTGGGTTAGAACTGGCTGCTGTACCACCACTTGTTGCTGATGGGAGACGGGAGCGATATAACTGGGATACTTCACCACACCAGCCACTCCAGCTGCGCCCGCCCCGCCGACAAACTTGACACCTTTGGCTTTGATGGCGCCTCCCTTGATGAAGAGAGGCGCCGCAGCAAGGAGCTTCTTCTTGCCGATGATAAGTCCGCGGGCCTGGCGGCTGGTCGAGGCCGGAGCGGAGCCCGCGGAGGCTGGGTCACTGGCCGAGGCGACGGCCGCCACCTGTGGGGTCACAAAGAGGTCAGATGGAGTCAGATGGAGGTCAGATGGGGTCAGAAAGGATCAAATTGGGTCAGAAAGAGGTCAAATCAAGCGTGTACAGTCAGTCTTGAAAGCACCGCGCATCGCTACGATGGACCCATTTAGCCCGACCGAGAAAGGGCTGCTAAATTTGACAGTTACCGATACATCCTCGTCCATCCCCCAGGTCAATTGGCTCGGTGACTCAAATTTAGCAGCCCCTCTTCAGTCAAGCTTGATGCATCCACCGCGCCGATGCGCGGCACCTACTTTCAAGACTGAACATCGTACCCAACTCACCATCAAGCAAACAGCCAAAACCTGTCTTCCCTTCATTGCTGTTTCTTTGTTCACCTATCGCCTGGTACTGCCGGCTAACCCACCTTGCAGGGCTTATATATGCGCTTTAGCGCACGCATTGTCCGTCACACCCGCTTACGAGTAATATTGTTTACCACTTGGCCAGAATAACTGTCTGCAAGGAGCAGGAGAGCTGGTATTTGGCGGGCGGTAAAGGAGGCCGTACGAAGTTTATTTTGCACTGAACTCAACCACTAGAGGATATTTACTAGGGCCTATACTTTTTTACAAAGGTATAAGACAATCAATGGAACAGGGTACGATTTAATCTAAAACTTTTTACTTAGACACGACGGTACCTGAACAGGGCAACAGGGAACAGGGCAGGGCAAGTCTGAACCGGCAATGAAGAACTTACGGTTTTTTTGAGCCGTGGCACTGCCTTGTATGGATCAATATCTATTTTGATATGGTGTTCGAGCACGCGAGTGACTGTTTCAGACTGAGTGAAAAACATACAGCAGTGAGTCATATGTTACAACATATCTTTCTGGTGAATTTCTACAACTAATTTTAACCGCTTGACCGGTGGTAATTGCATGCCTTTGACCCCTCTACAATCAGGACAATCAGAACAGGCAGAAATTTTTGTCAGAACCTAAGGTTTCCGTCCAATAGTAAAAACACGATTCGCTATAATTGTATTTTTCTATTGAAAAACAAATCTGAATTCCTTGACAATTTTGTATATAGTAGGGAAGGCGAGGACGATTAGGTATATGACGCCCACTACTATGTTTACAATCAACATCAAATCTCGAAGAAAACAATCGGCGTTTACTTTACAAGGTGTTGAAGACTGCAGACTGCAGATTTTATCAGCTTGATACCTACTTTGGCTGGTAGCTGTAAATCATCAGAAAGGTTAATGTGGTGTATCAAGATGCTGATAAACTCATTAGTGCAAATATGTAACAAGTGCACCTTATCTTTGGTCAGTGTTGGATCATTCATACTCCGCTGACTACCGTCTCGTCAGGTTTTCATTACCTTCTTTTCTCCTCAACTCATGCCATCATTACATCTGTGACACGAGACAGTTGGAGGGAGATTATGACCGGTTTAACCCGCGAGTTGCTGGGGGGGGGGGGGCGTTAAACGCCCCCACTTTTTTCTCCGGGCCATAGCATAAAAACGGCGCGCCGCAGGCGCGCCAAATTTTGGGTACCTGTAGGGAATAGATTGAAGTTAATTGTGACAAAGTTTCAAAAAAATCGGTTCGAAAAATTTTTGAGATATCGAGGTTTTAGTGACGTCATGATTTCTGAGTTTTCGACCAAAAACGGCATATGTTCAAAAAATCATATAAAATCACAGAACAGACATACAGACATGCAGTAAACGCCACTAGACTGCCAATACCATGAACAATCAAATGGCTATCTTCGATTATTGATTATCGTTCCACATTTTCCAAAATCTTGAACTGAATCTTGGCAATTTCTCGTGACTACTTCACGACCATGATACATGCATTTCTTAAATTGAACGTTTTGAGCCAAACACGTACGTACACATATGATAAAATGAATGTCACCATCGTGTTCTACGCCCCAAATTACCTATAAAACACGTGTCACAGGCTGCGAATATCAGTTTTGATTTTCGGGGATATGTGCCTACCCGGTTGACCTGACCTTGACCTTGACCTATGCTTGACTGACCCCTATATGGAGCTGACACTCTTGCAGGCCTTATATGGTGGATTGTGCACCGTTTTGACAGAGTTTATGACGAGAGGCGCCCATTGCGAAGTCCTGAAGTCCATGCTACTGAAAGCCCGATTTCAGGTGTTTGACCTGACCTTGACCTGACCTGTGACCTCAAAATTCAACTTTCAAGTACTCATCTGAAGCGTCTCATCGCGTTCTTTCGTTTGCCACCTCGTGCGTTTCGCTGCGCCTATTGGTTCTCGAGTTATCGGCTGGGGGCGTTTAACGCCCCCCCCCCCCCCCCCCAGCAAACGGTGGGTGGCGAAATACCCCAGCAACTGCCGGGTTAAGCTAGACCGATAAGAGGTGATGCTTTACCGATGGACGACTAATATATGTCAGCATTGTCCCGTCTGGATTGTATTTAGTAGCGCGTTTTTAAGTTATTTTGAACAGTACGGAAGAAGAATTGGGGCGGGGAGGATAATGAAAACACTCAACAGACACTGAGAGAAGACTGTGAGAGTCTATTTATTTTATTTATTCAAATAAATCGCCAACAGGCTCATGGCCCATTAACAGGCGAAGTCATACCACAGCATAAAATACACACACAAGGTAAACACTAAGCACTCATTCGCAATTAGATGACACTTAAAAATACAGAGATCCATGAAAGAGATCCATTAAATAATAGGATATAATATAAAAGTACACAGTAAAAATAAAATTGAATTAAAAGAAAAAAAACAATAAGAATAGGAAAAGTACAAACAAACTTTAAAATCTCTAAGACACGGTTCTCAAAGGCATGTTCCTGCAGTGGACCACGACGAATGATTTAAAAGAGATAAAGGTATCCGACGTGAAATCCACCTGAGGATTCCTGGCGATAAAATCATTTGCCTGGGCCGCCAGCCTTGTAAAAGTTCCTGTCTTTACCGTCGACACTCGAGCAAACGGCACATTAAACAACTGGACGTTCCGTGTTGGACGACTTGGTACATGTAGTGCGTACGAGGCTAATAAAAAAGACGAGTCGATGCGTCCAGAGTAAATGCTTTTCAGGAATAAAAGATCGAACTGAGTGCGCCGCGCCTCGAGTGACGAAACATGGAAGAAGTGTAAAAGATGACAGTATTCCAGGCAAATTGATCTGTCCGTGCCACCGGCCCGAGCTGCTAACCACATTAGGAATTTGTGCTGGACTCGTTCTAACCGTTTTAAATGAACTTTGGCTGCGCCAGACCACACAACACTACCGTATTCAAGAATAGATCGGACGTTTGCGTAATATGTAGCTATCAGAGCCCTCTGATCAAGTTTTTGTCTGGGCAAGCCGGTCTGGAAAGATCTGAATAGCTGACCGAGGGCTCTGTTTGCTTTTGCTATTGAACTGGTGATATGAGCCGAAAACGTTAGTTTAGAGTCCAGCACAATTCCAAGATCGCGAACTTCTGCGACACGCTGAAGGGGGAAACTGTTGACAAGGTAGGTGTGTAAGATGGGTGCTCTTTTGAGAGTGACCGTGAACGAAAGGCACTTCTGAGCGTTGAGAGAAAGACACCAATCGGTGGACCATTTGCAAATGTTGATGAGGTCGGTTTGAAGGAGGCCGCAATCAGCAGGAGTTGAAATTTGCCGGTAGATTTTGACGTCGTCCGCATACATGACGCATTTGGACGACGACACAACCGTCGGCAAATCATTGATGAAGAGAGAAAAAAGCAAAGGGGCCAGAAGGGCCCCTTCCGGAACTCCGGATTTTACTTTAGCCCACTCAGAAGTTCTTCCATTCACGATCACTCTCTGCTCTCTCTCCGACAGGTACGAGACGAACCAATCCAAAATTTTGCCGCTAATACAGTAAGACTCGGATAGTTTGAACAGGAGTAATTTATGATTAACACTTTGGAAAGCCGCAGAGAAATCCGTGTATATTGTGTCCGTCTGGCACCCGTCGGAGATCGAGCCCCAGGCAGTGTGAAGGTAGGTGGTAAGGTTGGTGATACAGGATCGGCCAGGCAGGAAACCGTGTTGTGCTGGGGATAGCACTGGGGCAGCGTGTCGCAGAAGCTCGTCAACAACAATTTTTTCAATAACCTTGCCAAAAAGTGGAAGAAGAGACACAGATCGATAATTTCGGGGATCTTTTTTGTCACCCTTTTTGTGTATCGGCACAATGTTTGCCTGTTTCCATTTGGATGGAAAGATGCCTTGTCGCAGTGACATGTCGCAGAGTTTGGCCAGTGGCACGGACAGCTCTGAGGCACACTCATGAACAATACGAGCACTGATCCCGTCGGGCCCGCATGCCTTGGTTGCTGGTATAGATTTCAGAATCGCACACACTCTATCCGCGGATACAGCGATACGGTTCAGGGCCGGCAGGTCGTGTCGCGTTACAGCGGGGTAGGTCGACACGTTGGGATCAGTGAACTTAGATGCGAATACCCTGAGTCTGAGTCTGATCATTTGCATGTTGAGTATCGATTTATCGTGCACAACTGCACAGTTTGTGGTACACATAAACAAACGGTACAATTTTATGGCAGGGACTTATGACAAGTTTAAACACCAGAATACAGAATGAGCATAATTTCAAAATTTCAAAATACTGAAAAACATCGACCTAGAAACATAATAATCAATAGCTATGTATATAAGCGTAAATAGATTCAATGATCTCTCAGATCTCGTGTTATCACGCTTGCCTTACATTACACTTACACAATTTATAAAACCATCTTTACACCAAAACGGGTAGAGTAGCCTCATCAAATAACTCCCTCGTAAAACTTCAGCTGACTAGTAAACCACAAGCAGTTAATACGTGATGTCATTTATTACCTTATTACATAACATCACCACAATACTCTCCAGTAGTATGTGGTTCCCTCAATCCGTCCATCCCAAAAGCCGAGTTCAAGGATATTTTCGTATCATTGACGATTAACCCACGCATGTGGGACACAAGAGACTCACAAAGTTGTCCACCCTCACCGACATTGGCCACTGAGCGGTGTCTCGAGGTTATGTCTGCACTAAGGCTCATATATAAGCTCCATGAGGGGATTCAGATGTCAGTTAGCAGTGAACAGTGAACAGGAAAGCAACCATGAACGGAAGGCAGATTTTAGTGGTTTGTTTGATGGTAAGTGTGAACATTTATGGGATGTTATGTGCTGTGAGGTTTACCGCTAATTTATGTACGATTATTTCGGATATTCTGCTCATCCTCACAATTCGATTTCGCTTATTTTGAGAACTTGTATAGCACACCGTTTTCTACATTGTGTTTTTCACAGAAACGACTGAGCATCTGAAGCTCATTGCAGACAAAAACACATTG